TTTATCACTGTAATAAAAATAATTTTAAAAATTGTGTAATCACTTCACTACAGAGATTCAAGGTCAAATTTACACCAATTTTTTCAGGTATGATTCAAACATAATCAGAAAGAAAAAAAGCAAGTGTTTCCACTGAACACAAAGTGCTGTGACACTTTTTATACTGACGATTTGTTTTCCTCCTCTAGATTTGTGCACCTGATAAAGTAAAATGTAACGGAAAGGAAGCATGTTATGTGGCAGCACAGTCCAGCATATAGGACACAGGAGTAGGCGACAGGAGACCTAAGCTCTATTGCAGCTCAGCTACTCACTCACTGTCTGACCTTAGGTAAGTCATATATATTCTGTGTGCTTTTCCCATCTGTAAAATAGGAAGAAGTGCTTTGAGATTGACATATGAGAAGTGCTAATGTATGTATATGAGCTATTCAGACAATATTTAGGGATGATACAGTAAAACATAGTAAACTCCTACTGGAATAACTGGAATTGCCGGCTGATAATATTTCAGATACGCTAGTATTCTTATGAATGTAACTAATGGATATTATTTCATTTTCCCTCCATTTTTAAATCTCAATTAAGTGTAAGGAAATAGATGTGAAAGTTTTTTTCCAAGAAGCAATAGGTACAGTTATAGTTTAGATGTCACCGGTTTCATTTTGTTAGTCTACCACAAACAGGAGAGAAATGTGTAATCTGTACTTGTGTAATGCCATTCTTCTGCACAGATCCAGTATCTTAGGGCTAGGATTTTTGAAATGGTAGCAGAAAAAGTTTGGTTTTTTTATGAGATCATCTATTTACTGCTTGCGCTCTTAAGTAATTCTAGTTGCTTGTTAAACCAATTGAAGGTATAATGTGACTGTTACACAACATTTACACTTTACATTTAAAGAGACAATGACCACGTTCCATAAAATACTTTTATTGACTAAAGAAGAAAAAAACAGTAAATTCCATCTGAGGTTACTTGAAAATGTGAATTACAATATTTTTTATCCAGTGGTATTAATACATATACACATACATAAAAGAACAGAGAAAAGGTGCTTACCTGAAAAAAAATCAATATTCCTTTTTTAGTTTAAAAATATGAATGCAATTAAACACTTTTATGAAAAACACTGACCTATTAGTTCACACTTGCTAGGAACATCTGGTGGCAGAAATCTAAGTTTAAGAGTGTTTTATTGGTCTTTTATTTAAACCATATGCCCTCCCCATCTTTCAGACCTAAAAGTTGCATCTGCACTTATTATACACTTTAGATGAAAAGAGATGTTATTTTCAGATTCTTTTAACATGGATGGCTAAACACATGAGCCACACGTGGCTCTTTTACCATTAAAGTTCAGTTCTCAGAGCCTCTCTCTCCCCCACCATTTCTTCACCCCCTAGATTTGGTGGAAAGGAGACCTTGGGACCTCTGCCTTGCAGCAGGGTGTGGGGGGTGTCTCAGAACTTCAGTTCTGCTGAGTCCAGCAGAAGCAGGGCTGAAGTCCTGAGCCCCCTCACATGCCTCTTATGGGACTGAAGCACCAAGCTCCAGCAGGCACTCTGGCTCTCAAACTTGGAGGAAGCCTCTGGGAGTTACTCCTCGCTGTGGCTCTGCAGTTTAAATGTAGCAAGAGCTGGGTGGGTAGGCAGCCTGACTCCTACTACATTTAAACTGTGGAGCTGCAGCAGAGGTAGCTCCTGGACTTGCTGCGAGCAAACTAAGCCAGGCTTCCTCAGTCCTAGCTTGTGCTGGGTCCAGCAGCCACTGTCCGCAAGGGATGCCAGTGGGAAGCTGGGACCTTTCACAAACAGGGTCTGTTACAGCAGATGGCCTGCCCCAGCCACTGTGAATAAAGGATGCTCTGTAGGATGCGGAGCAGCTTCTGCCTGTGGCAAGCCTGAGCCCCAAGGGCAGAGGCTGCTTCACGGTAGCCTCCCCTGCTGTCCCCCCGCCCCCCACTCCTGCTGCCTCCTATAGAGGCAGCAGTGCAGGGGCCAGGCAGCACCACGGAGACAATGATGGGGGGGAACCAGCTTTTAAGCTGGCTCCCCCCAGCACTGGCTGCTGCTCTCCCCCCGACCCTAGCTGCCTGTAATACAGAGGCAACAAGGGAAGGGAGGATTTCAAGTAGTTGACTCGACTATCCAATAAGCCTCAACCGGACTACTCAACTACATCCCTACAATGCAGCTCAGAGAGTTGGTAAATTTGGCCACCCCTGCTCTCTTGTGTGGATGCCCATAATTCTAGGCTTAAAACAATCCTGTAAATAATTAACTACAAATGTTAAACTCACCTAATTAGGAATGCCAGTTAATTTATTGTGATACTCTCCAAAAATTTTAATTTTAAAATACATTTCTTTTGGGGAAGAGGGGTCATTCCCTCATTTTACTCTTTACTTCACCACCACCACTGGAAGGCCCAGATGGCAGATGTAATTTCCTCTCTAGAGTCCAACAGCATCACATTGGATTTATACACTTTAAATAAAAAAAACACACCCCTCTTCAAGAAATATATTGTTTTTTTATAACACTACAACCTTTTCTGGCACATAAACATAGGCAGACACATCTGTACCATGTAAAAATTCAAACAAAATTAAAAGGCCCAGATTTTCAAAAGTAACTAGTGATATTTAGTGTTCAACATCAGACACTTTTAAGGGGCCTGATTTTCAGAAAAAGATGTTAAAATTAGACTCCTTTAGTCCAGAAACCTAAACTGAGGTACTCAAATCATTAGTCACTTTTGAAAATCTTTGTGAATCTCCTCCTCAAAAAAAAAAAAAAGAAAGAAAAAAGCCACACAACACTCACTATTCTATTTGTGAAAGGGCAGATGTTTTATAAAAATGATGTTGATTTTAAAACTCAATAGCTTGTTGCAATTTCAGCTTTATCCTTGGTATGCCTTAATTCTAGAATTTGAGAAAGATTTAAATAGAAATGTGGAATTCTAGAAATGTAACCTTTGTCTGACTAGAACGCAATCCATTTATGGGTGTAAAATTGGGTCTTGGGAAAAATTCACTCTAGTGCAGAAGGCCTATGCAAGGCCCATATGTCATCTCTGCAAGTTTCTACTAAGATTTTAAAAGGATTAATTTATCCACATTTGCCAGATTCTGAAGATCAGAGGAAGATTTTATTTAAAATTAAATAAAAAAGGAAACTTACAAAGCTAGACAAAAATCAAAAGCTAGTACCAGGCGCAGATTATTGTAGTCCCTTAAAATACTCTGCTTAAGTGATTCTACACAGGACTGCAGGCTCCTTCTCACTGTTTGGTGGGCCATTCTTATTCCTCATGTTCATCATGGTCTACAGTGGAAGAGACTTCCGTTCCCCACTTCAAAGATCTTCTGTGTGACCTTTGGCACATAACTTTGTGCCTTTATTACTCGGTTCCCCAACTGTAAAATAGGGATAACAGTGTTTCCCCTACCTCACAAAGGACTAGTAAGAATAAATATATTATAGGTTGTGAGGTGCTCAGATATTATGATGCGGATCATACAAGTACCTGATAGATAAGAACAGATCAAGTATGTCCAAGAATGGGGCCTGGAGCATGTTCCCTTCATGGATGATTGCACTATTAGCATTTCTTCCCCACTATCTAAAGCTGGGAATCTTCAAAGTGAGCTTCTCAAAAATGGCATGGGAAAGACAAGAAGGGAGTGGCATCAAAATATTCTTTTTACACTTGGCACGAAGAGTTGGCCCAACTATGAAACACTCTATTATTTGTGTTTATGAGGTTTATTTGAGAACATTTTATTGTTTAGTTGGGTCCTAAAACCTTTGAGCATATGGAAGTTGAGGACATTCAGCTTCTTAAGAAAGGAATTCAGCACACAGGAGGATCTGGTCCTTGCTGTTCACTCTTTAAAGTATTTTGTAAAAATACCAGAACAACTGAGTGCTGCCTGAATCTCATACTCTTTTAAGCCTTTGCAGGCTTGTGTCAAAACCAAATTCTTGTTTAGAGACTGAATTTATGCTCCTCTTTCATCCTCAGTATTAGACAACATTCATCTCACTATCAAAAGTGAAATTTGAAGATTAATTCACACTCCCGTCACTCTTACTTCTTCATTCAGTCACCATGCCCACCACACAGGCAGAAGAGCAAGCTGAAGTTGAACTTTTTTCCCTCTTCCCAATTTATTTTATAAAATAGAACAAAAGAAAACATATATGACTCTGATTCATCCTCAGTATTAGACAACATTCATCTCACTATCAAAAGTGAAATTTGAAGATTAATTCACACTCCCGTCACTCTTACTTCTTCATTCAGTCACCATGCCCACCACACAGGCAGAAGAGCAAGCTGAAGTTGAACTTTTTTCCCTCTTCCCAATTTATTTTATAAAATAGAACAAAAGAAAACATATATGACTCTGATCAGGGTGGGATGGGAAAAGGTTTTTTTTTTTTTTTTTTTTTAAAGCAAGCCTGTCTTTCACATTTAATGATTTAGCTGGAGTTTCCTCTTCCCTTTAGAACATAAGCACTCAGGAAAAAAGTCATAGTTAAAATGAGATGATGGTGCAGTGAAGTTGTTGCAAAAGTTACCTTTCATTTGAGTCAGTATCTTGATTCTTGTGCTTTCCAAAAGTTGGAATTTCCTGCTGGCTTGGTGCTGAGATGTGTGGGAGTGGTGTTTTTATATAACGATTGTTCTATGTACCAAATTTTATGGACAAATTTATGCTCATAATAATGGGTAGGCCAAGACTATTGCTGAAAACACTGTATAGATTATAGGTTATTTTATCTTTGGGGCAGAGTTTACTTATTGCTACCCCTAAATTTCAGGTTTCATTTGTACGACTATTTTTACAGAATGAAATACTTTTCCATTGGTACTTACTTCAGGGCATGTGTTACACCTAAAATCAGTAAGATCATTTGTCTCGGTTAGAATGCTTGAAATTATGATTTAATAGGGGTACCAGTTAGCCTCCCACAAATCATGTGCTTACCTGGTCCCTCAAAGGGCAAGAGTTTGGATGGAATTGGGTCCTTAGCACTCAGTGGGATCAGATAGAGATCCTTGACGTGTCTGTTGTTATTAGCTACAACACCAAAACGACCACGACTGCTAAAATAGGAGTAGAGAGAAATATAGGCCACTTCCTCTTCCTCTGTAGCAGGGTGGAAACGAATCAAACACAGTTCCTACAATACAAAAGTACAAGGGGATATTGTTCATCTAGTGCTAAACCAGCAAATGAAGTGCTAAATGGGATGTTACTATACTGGAAAATATTTCACTTTTAATTAAAAGAAAAACAATATTCTATAAATTGTGGCAATAACCAACACCAGATGCCTAAATTAGAGCAATATTGCAATTGAAATGACTATCGCTATGTCTAAAACTATTATTTTAAAATAAAAATATAATTCATTTTAAGCTCTATACAGTTTTGAAAACAAGCATTACTTGTTATCTTGCATCTAAATATTGCCTCTTAATAAATCAGTAATCTGAGCATTCCAGCAACATTAAGGGAATACTCTTACTATGATACAGCATGACAAATAATAATATTGCAATGCATGGATTTTCCATTTCACCAATGCGTTTTAAAGGTAAAACCTCTGACCTATATTACATAATCACTTTGTCCTCTTTTAAACTTGAATATAATTATTTAATACTAAAAAATTAAATGTTCTTGGTTCACGTAGTGCACTAATTTACTCAGAAAAGAGCAGAAAGGAAGGCATTTGAGCCATTCAACACTGCAAAGCATGAAAATACACAAATTTACACTTTTCTTCAATAAATCCTATATAAAAATATTAACTTTTAAGTGTTTCCACTGGATTTCTGGGCATTATCTCAGATAATATTGGACCCTTAGCAAATTAAAACTATATCTGAACTTGATATACAAGTACAAAGTACTACACTTAGGAATGAAAAAAATCAAATGCCAAAAGTAAGCAACAGGGATAACTGACTAGGTGGTAATAGTGCTGAAAGAAGATCTGCAAGTTTAGTAAATTACAAAATGAATAGGACTCAACTATGTCATGCAGTTGCAAAAAAGACTAATATCGTTATGGCATGTATTAACAGGACTGTCGTATATAAGATATGAGAGGTAAATGTCCTGCTCTCATGAGTGCTGCTGAGGCCAAATTGCACAAATTAAGGAGACACCAGAAAGGAGTAATAAAAATAATAAAAGGTTAAGAAACCATGACCTATGAGGTAAGGTTAAAAAAAGGGACATGGGAAACCTGATAATTGTCCTCAAATATGTTAATGGCTATTATAAAGATGATGTTGATCAATTCTCCATATTCACTTAAAATAGGATAAGTAGTACTGGGCTTAATCTGCAGCAAGGGAAATTTAGGGCAGATATTAGGAAAAATTTTATAAGTGTAGTTAAGGCTTCCAAGAAAGGTTGCAGAATCCCCATCGCTGGAGGCTTTTTAGAACAGGGTGGGAAAACACCTGTCAGGGATGGTCTACATCAATGTTTCTCAACCGTTTTTTATAAAGTACACCTTTAAAAGAAAATTATAAGTACCCCCACCAGTATCTACAGTTTTCAGACACACACATTTTTTTTCTACCTTTGCAACACTAAACAACTTAATCGTAGCTGGGTGGGTGATGAAATTTTTGGGTGTAAAAAGTACAAAAATAAAAAAGCACTGTGAAACTTAAAACAAAAATTCAGTTTTCTCCAAATTTCAGTTGTGTTGATGTACCTGCCCCCCCAGACTCCTCTCTAGTACCCCTAAGGATACTCGTACCACTGGTTGAGAAACACTGGTCTACACCTCTTTGGTTCTGCATCAGCACACAGAGCTGGACTTAACTTCTTGAGGTGTCTTCCAGACCTACACTTCTAGGATTCTATGATTATGTTTTATAAAACTGGTTTTCTTCTTCACTGCTAGACACAGGATTTTAAGTGAGTACCTTAGAAAGGGAAGATTTCAGTTTGCCAACATAATCCCAGACTGTCTTCGGTGAGATCCTCCCACCAATATGAATTGTATCTGGTAAATCCTAAACAAGAAGTATTACATGGTAATATAAGAAAGCATCATAAATACAATATGTTGTTTAAAAGCAATATAGATTGCCCCATCCCGATAGCTTGTTGGATGCTATGCTCCAGGAAGAGGAGACTATAGCATTATAATATTTCAGTTCTGTCTTCTGACTTAGGAGACACGCTGTATGTTAATACATGACTGCCTATTTCATAGCTGCAAGGTGAGTGCAGTTATTGCACATTACTGGGAGGAAAACAGTACGTTACAAGGGAAAAGGCAGTCCAGAAATGACAGTGAAAGTTGAATAACTTCCATGTGTACTGTTGGCTAAATCTGCTCATTTGCTTTGCTTTGAGCAGATAAGCCCTTCTTCCTATACACAAGTAATTTTTTAACACCGTAAGTCCCAGTACAGCAGTATAAATTCTTCTCCTTTCTTGCAATTTAACAGAATGTTATTACTCATGATTACAAGCCATGTGTATTCTAGTCAGGTCCTCTCAGTCAAAATTCTACAGGAAATTTTATCAGTTCAAATACTGTAAGTGATTACTACCATGGCTCCCATATTACAGCTAAAAAATAATAATAAGTTTGCCCTTAAAAACTCATTTTTAATAATATACAAAATATAAATACCCTGATAAAATTTGCTTCAAAAAGGGAGAAAGTTTCCAGTCTGTTTGGTTATAAACAAATGCACACTCTGTCACAACATAAGGTCACTTGAATCTACATACTCCCAGAAATACAATATCCTCTATCATTTGTTTTTATACAATTTAAATAATAAAAGGACAATTTCCCACTTCTCAGAGGACCATATAAACTGTCACAATGGATCAGATTAAGTGGCCCACCTAATCTAACACCACAAGATCATACTTTTCAAAGTTTGCCTGAAAATATTTTTTTTAAATTATGTCTCTAAGAAAGTTTTAAGTCGAGTCCATTTTTTAAACTGCTGCTTTTTCCATGCCACAAGTGGCTTAACACATAGTCATAGACACTTCAAAATATCAATTCAGGGACTGAAGCCAAAAAATAACCATTTTTAGCTTAGAGGACCCTAACATACCTGAAGCCTTTTAATAACTTTAACTGTTAAGGATTTTTAAATAGGTTTCTTGTTTTAAAACTACAGAATTATGTTCCAAAAGGAATTACCATAAAAGAAATATTTCTCTTTAAAAGTGAAGTCTCTATTTCGTGATTGGAACAAGTTTCTCTGAATATATGTACACATGCTGCCATATGTTTAGGGCTTCTGATTTGAGGATTTAATGACAACTAATAAAATGCATCTAATACAAAAAGAGAAAATATATAAATTTAAAAATGACAGTGTTGTTTATCCAACTAACACCAGAAAAACACGGATTATGATTACTAAGTACTAAGAGTTTGTCTACTCAAAGCAGTGAGGAAGACTATGTGGAGGATTACTTCTTCAGCACAATGTATTGCATATTAAGTAGTCCATGCAGACACTGTTGGTGGACACTATAGGTTCCCTACTGTATTTGAAAACTATTTGAAACAGCGTGATCCTACAACACACCAGGGAAAATTCAGAAGTATGCATTAATGTAATGAGTAATTTATGTAATATTCATTTCTCAGTACAGTATATCCAGACAGACAGCATGGAAAAAACCCTGATTTTGGAATGATACATTAAATGAAAGAACTGTTAAAATATAACCCCTAAAAATGAGATTTATAAACCCTGAAAAGCAGAAGCCCTATATATATGACATATTTAAAAGCCTGACTGCCAAGCGTCAGGTAGATCAAAAATAACACTGAAAACTGGACTTCTAATATTGGCTTACTGGATCTACAAAACAGAAATTTTCCAACTTTATTGGGAGTCATATTTACAGATGAAGTTTAAATCGAGTAGTCACTGAAGTCAGTGGGAGTCTTTCTGTTGACTTCAATGAGCACTGGATCTGACCTTTATGGCCTAATTTCTAGATGTACAGTGGGATTTCCAAAAGTTTCAAAAGTTTCCAGAATTGGCCTAACTCTGTTTCCGAGTGTTTTTGAAAATCCTACCCATATTATTTAATAATACAGGTGAAAATGAAAGCATGTTTAAGATATTAGCCTTAACTTTACTGTTTTGGTGGTCTCCTGGAAACAGGAAATTATATTAAAAAAAGGTTTCTCAATAGAAAACAAGTTGTTTTATTCAGTGTAACACACTGAAATATTTGTAAAAGTTGCACTGCTTGAAATAATAGCTGCTATTTTATAAGTATTATGAAAGATTTATGCATTCAAATAAAAAGCTTATAAATATAAATGTTATTCTTGCTACCAGTATTTAAAAAACTCAGTAGTGGTTTTGCACAAAATGCCCATAGTGTCAATATTCTAATTTAAGTTCTGTATTAGAGCAAGGTGAATAAAAATAAATTGCTGAATAACTTGTTCAAAAGTACTGCATAACCACTTTGATGATTTTTGCAAATATTATTTGACCATCTCTAGTCAGCATCAGAATTGTTGCTTGTTTTTTACCAAACAGATACCAACTATATGCTCAGAAGAGATAGTTATAATGTAAAATACCAAAAACTTTTTGTAGTTTATTTATGATTAAAAATGCTTCCTAAAAATTCTCCAAAAATTTCACATTGGTATACTGAGCCAAATCATTTTCCTATTAGCAAATTGATGCCATTTAGTATTGTTGTAATTTCAGGGCAGCAATATTTAACAAGTGAACTGAATCTTTGTAACAAGAGAAAAATACAGATGCATTCTATACATATAAATATCTGTTCTAACCTCACTAAGATATTCAAAACACCCAGACACAGGATATGCTTTAGTGACAAACTTGGCCACACTTTGCATGTTAATAAATCCTTTCCAAATGGTATTGAGACGAGAGAGAAAGAACGAAGTATCTCCATCCTGAGGTGACCGTGACTCTGTGATGCTGCAAAACAAAATTGAGAGAGAGGAAAAGTTAGAAGGAAAATTGTCATTTCTTTCTGCCCCCAGCTCCTCAACTATTTCAAGCATTTCAAACAAGTAAAAAGATGAGAGAACATTTACACATCTAATCCTACTAAGAATCCAAATAAGTGACAGATTGACCATATTACTGGTTGAACCTCTTAAATCTTGGACTCTCTAGTCCGGCAACATCCATAGTCCAGCCTGGAAATGTGAGCCAGCCAGGGAGTCCAGCACTGGCTAGGCAGGGCAGAAGTGGGACTGGCGAGCCCCGTCTTCATAGAGCCCCATTCCAGCGCAGCAGCGGGGCAGACATGAATTAGCCACGGAGCCTCGTCCTTGGGAAGCCCTGGGTTTGACAGAAGCAGGGCAGCCGCAGAGCACCGTCCCCGAGAAACCTCAGCTGGGCGGGGCAGAAGTGGGGCTGCGGCAGCTGGGGAGCTCCATCCCCAAGGACCCCAGTTGGCTGGTGGCAGCATGCCGAGCCCAAGCCCTGTAGCAGCAGGGCTGGAGCCCAATGGCAGTGGGGCTGGAGCATAGCCAGGCAGAAGGAGTGTCAGCATCCTGGGAGGCCAGTGGCAGATGACCAATCCTGATCCGGCAAATCCCCTCATTCAGGACCGGTTAGTTCTGAGGGTGCGGACCAGGAAGGTCCAACCGGTATAAATGATTATCTAAATCATGTTTGGAAATTAACTGGATCCTGGTGAAAGAATGCAAGGAGCTTTTGAAAATGTATATGCTGAGATAGGGAATAAAGGATACCGTGAGGGACATGCTTTGCAATCAGGCTAGCAATGTGAATATTCTTTTATCTTAGAATATATAGTAAATTTAATTGGATTATGCATCTTCCACTGAATAAATGAATGATACCGTATGTATGAAAACATTCTCGTGGTAAAGAACTCAGTATGACTAAAAATCATCATTGTATTTCAGTTTTTTCCCCCAAAGTCAAACAAAACAACAATAAATTATTTCATCCAAATTATAGGATATGTTTGTTTTCCTTGTTATGCATATTGAATATAAGTGACCCTTTTCCTTTTACTAAACAGACCCATTATTGAAACCAACCACTCCCAAAAATCAAGTCTAAGAATATTTTAATTTTAGGACAAAATTCTGGACTATACATCTCAAGTATCACTGCTGACTCTCTTTATATACTCTAATGTTTATATACCCATTATTCAACATTCATAACACCTTTTACTGTTAACATAGGCAGACTTTGCCATTTGGGGAGGACAAATGAGTGGATGATCAATCAAAACATTTTCTGAATGAGGACATTTTAAAATCTAACCTGCCTTTCTTCTTAATATAGAAAATACATACTAATCCAGAAAATAATAATGTGAAAGGCTCATTAGGTTGGTTTGATGCAACATATACGCACTTGATATTTGGTGATGGTGGAACTGTCAAATATCTTGGATCTGGTGAAGATGATGGCTTTGTTAAAATTGATTTAGGGGTTGTTAAAACAGATTTGGAGATTTCTTGTTTGGATTCCCCCATGGAAACTTTGTCAGGTGCAGGGCTGGAATGCGATGTGGAGGTCACAATTCCAGAGGAATTGCTCATTGCTGTTCTGGGGTCCCTGCCAGAAACAGTTACCGTAGTGACAACTCCTGCAATGCAAGAGGTAGGATAAATGGAGACCTCTTCAGGCAAAGTAGCTTCTGCATTATTATGCCCCTGTGTTGTAGGGAAGTAAGTTGTTTCCAAGACTGACTGAGAGAGTGTTTCTGTTACAGATCCAAAAGTTTCTGTTGTGTTTTCAGATACTGCTTCTGTTTCAGGCTCTGTAGTTGGTGTAGAACTTTCATATTTTGGCTTTACTTCTGGTTTTGATTGTGTCTCCGTCTTTTTAGAAGAAGTCACTGACAATTTAGATTTCTTTGGTGTTGGTTCATCATCATATGCTGAAACCTGACCTTTAAATTAGACAAACATTTTTTATTGTTATTCATATAAAAATCATGCTGGAAAGAAAAAACAAATCATTTATATAGCATTTGCAGTTGAGAATTCTTCTCTCTCGAAACAGAAAACAGAGTTTACTGCCTAAACTAAATACATTTTAAAAAAGAGAGCTAAGATGGTCTGAACAAAATGATCATTATATTAATTCTACACACTTACAAAAAGGACCGGTTGATTCAATTAATTGTACAGGTTGCACCTTTAAAATCTGAGTTTCCCTAGTTCGGCATGACCACGGATGTTCCTGAATCAAAGAGTCCCAGTGCACTGCGGGAGGGTGGGAGCCTGGAAGCGCTTGCAGCTGGGCTGCGAGAGGGAAGCCAGGAAGCCCGGGGGAGAGAGAGAGGAAGGAGAGGGAAAGGGCGCAGCAGGAAGCCTGAAATGACTTTCCCTGGTCCAGAAAAATCCCTCATCTGGGACCACTCAGGTCCTGAAGCAGGTAAGTCCAACCTGCACTACCGAAACAACATGGTCCTAAGTCGACTACCGAAACAACATGGTTCTAAGTCCACCACAACATGGTCCTAAGTCCACCACTAGACAGACAGACAACACAGACAGAATAGCACACTGATTTCAGTGAATATTGGACTGCCCCTTAATACACGTTTTCTTGTGCAGAAAACCAAACTGACAATTCTAAATGGAAGATTATGCATACCTGTACAAATTTTGCAGTTCAGGTCAAAAAGATGGGCTCGATGCTGACTTGTTGTGTCTTTTAACATACTGCTGAAAATATCTAGAAGAGGAGCACTACTTTTCTCTGGTGCATCTCGGGCTGATTCTTGCTGCTCCTAAAAATGGACAAATGCAAAAACAAAAATTACTGGTTATTCATTAATTTCAAATATATCAAGGCTGTGTAATCCATAATTTGAATTTTAGCTATTTTAACAAAAATCCTGACACATCATCTGGTCTCATTAGCACATATGAAAAGGCATTGCGTTTTGAAAACATTCTTTATACATTATAAAAGCTATAACTTCACTTTTTATTTCTTCTTTTCTCCTTAGTCTTTAATAAGGAAATACTGGAGGAAATCAAGAACTCTCTTTAAAAGTTATCATTCCCCTTCTGACATCAAAAATACATTCTATCCAATCAGAAGTTTTCCCAGTATCCAAACTGATATTATTGTGTTTTCATATAGAAGGTTAGCAGAAAGTATAGATCAACTCTTCAGAAAGATAATTTCTAAAAATTAGTATAGTTTTAAAATCAGCAAAGAGATGAATATATAGTGTCTGATTTTTAAGATTCTTCTTCGTGTGCTTGCTCATATCCATCCCAGTTAGGCGCATGCAGACAACATGCACAGATTCTGGAGCTTTTTTCCCCTTAGTAGTTGGGCCAACCAGAGAGCCCACTGGAGTGGTGCTGCTATATCCCTGCAGATATACCCCTGTTGGGCCTCCACCCCCTCAGTTAATTTTTACTATCCCTGAGGGTAGCTGGACCTGGAGTGCTTGACTCTCCTGTTAGTCTGATCCTTAGCCTTTTGCATATAGTGTTAGTTAAAGTTCTTTATAGTGTAAATAGTTGTTAATAGTTGTTAAATAGTTCTGAGGGGAATTTGCCCTTTATCTCTCCCCTACTGGGAAGGGGATGCCCCGGCCCCAAGGTTTCAAGCTATGTGTTTAAAGAGTCTTGGGGAGGACCACTTTACAGACAGTTGCCAGATTTGTAGGGGCTTCAAACCAAGAACTAAGCAGGAGTGGGATTCCTGTTTGAAGTTCATCTTACTGGAGTTCGCTCTTCAGCCGGACTCAGCAAAGGTGGTGCAGAGTGCACTGGCTTCAGTGTGGAAGCCCTCCATGGCACCAAAACATACCACTGCACTGGCCAAGTCTTCGGCCCTGTTCCCAGTCTCTGGTGTCAAGAAAGGAGAGAGAACAGGGGGCGGTCCCGATAAACGCAGCCACAAAGTGCGTCAGGTGGAAGTGCATTTGGCCACAGCATCGCATGATGATGCTCCTGTGTCAGCTAGGCACCAGGTTTGCTCAACGTGTCAGGGGAGTCCAGTGTTGGACATGGTGACAGAAGAGGTCTGGCAACCGTCGACCTTCAAGACCTTCGATACTGCCCTGGAGCTTATTGAGGGGGTTGCCACTGTGCGCCCAAGTCTGTGTTGGAGTTAGATCAGATCCAGCCATTGGCACCATGTCATCTAGTGCAGCTCCGGACTGTGATACTGGCACCAGTAACAATGGCACCGCTGACAGCAGCACAGAGCCAGAACTGACACTGACAATAGCGCCATCAGCTCACCCCTGCTCCAACCACATAAGTGCATGCAGAGCTTCCGGTACCGTGCCCACAGGCGGGTTCCGTATATCTGCTGGCATGGCATCAGCGACTCAGTTGATGCCCCCTGCAGTGCCGGTCCACAAAGCAAAACCTGTGGAGATAGCCCAGCATGCACAGTTGCACCATTCACTAGCACCGTTGTCTATACTGTCATGGTCTGACTCGGACTATTCATCCAACTCAGAGGCTAAGTCGGTTCATTTCAAGGCCTCCTCATATAGATTGAGATTGTGGCACCGATATCGCTCCCAGCACTGGAGCTCGACAGTGCACCAAACATGGCCACCTCAATGGCAGCCGTGGACGCAGTAGCTATTTTGGATGCCATAGGAATATTACCAGGCCCAGGGTAGACACCCGTCGAGATTTGTGTCAATGGCTACACATTCTAGAGGTACTCCTTCCACCACCCTATTGTCAAGGGTCCCAGCCTCAGAGCCCGATCAGTCCTCTTATAAGGAGATGATGAGGCCTCTGGTGGAGAGCAATGATAACCTGCCTCAGACTCTACCACAGTTGCACCCCACAGCAGATGGTGGAGGGGCATGGCAATCAACAACTGATAAGGGAGTCTTCCTCCTCATCGCCAGATGAGGCATTAGCCAACTCCACGCTCCCCTTGCCCACAATGGATGCCAAGGCACACCAAGAACTTCTCCGACAGCTTGTGGCCAATTTAGGTGTGCAAGTGGAGGAGGTCCTGGAGGAATCCGACTCGATGCTAGATATTTTGAAAGGAGATGTCCCAGCCAGGGTAGCATTGCCACTGAATAAGATGGTGGTTAGGATTTTAAAAATCCAGTGGCAAACACCTGCCTCCATACCACCCACCCAAAAATGGGTGGAAAGGTGTTACTTTGTTCCTCAGGTGGGACATTAACATATCTTTGCCCATCTAGCCCTGGACTCCCTGATGGTCCAGGCTGCTGGCCAGAAGAAAAGACAAGGCCCGCCTCAGATCTACGCCAAAAGGCAAAAACCCCAAAAAATGGACCTGCCAAGGAAAAAGGCCTATGTCTCAGGGGGGCTGCAGCTGCGCATTGCAAATCAGCAGGCGATGCTGAGCAAATATGCGTATAATATGTGGTTGGCCGTGGATAAGTTTAAATTCTTCCTTCTGCAGGAGTCTAGGCAGGAGTTTGGGGCCGTCTCAGAAGGCAGAGTGGACTCCTGCATGACATTGCAAGGAAGCATTCCTACACCTAGACAGAACTGCCAAGACTTCACATGCTCCCCCAGCCACAGATCAATCAGGGTCTATGGGTGGGGAAGCACAGAAGTGTTCTGTCCCCACCCCTTCTGTCTGAGGTCTCACCCTTTCTAGGGCAGCCTGGGGCCACTTCAAAAATTTCTGAAGTGTCCCCTGGTCAAAAATTGTTGCCCATCCCTGCCTTACCTGGATGATTAGCTAATCGGGGGGTTGTCCAGGGAACAAGTTATGCATCACATAGACCTTGTCAGGGTTCTGTTCCACAGACTGGGTCTCCTCATAAATGAGGAGAAATCCATGCTCAATCCTACTCAAGTAATAGACTTGGTTGGGACCCAGCTAGACTCCACTTTGGTGAGGGCTTCCCTGCCCAGGGCCAAATTCATGGCTATACGAGCCATAATCGAGGGTCTCAAAGCACTGCCCCCTCAGACCAGCAACGTGTATGAAACTGCTGGGCCACATGACAGCTTATTCCTGTGTGATGCAGCATACAAGGCTGTGGCTTGGACCTCTCCAGATGTAGTTGGCGACAGTGCACAAACTACCTGGATGCTGTGGTCATGATACCGGAAGACGTATTTCGGTCACTAGAATGGCGGTGGCAGGAACAGATAGTCTCCAAGGGCATCCCGTTTGTCAGACAAAGCTCATCAGTGCAGCTGGTCACAGACACATTGGGCAGGGTTGAGATGCCCATCTGTTGAAACTCAGGATTCAAGGTGTGTGGTCCCAAAGGGAGAGCTCTCTGCGTATAAATGTCAGGGAGCTCAGGGCGGTCAGGTGTTCCTACCCCACTTGAAATACAAGGTGGTCTTGGTGCACACACACGACTGCAATGTATTATATCAAGAAACAGAGTGGAGCTCATTCCTCTCCCCTGTATGAGGAAGCCCTATGCCTCTGGGACCGGACCTGTGAATTGCACAGTTTCCACCTGGAGGCTGCATACCTTCTGGGAACTCGAAATGTCCTAGCAGACAGACAGCAAGTTCTTCAGGGCCCACGATTGGTCCATCAGACCAGACATTCTGAGAGCTGTCTTCCAGTGTGTGGGTGGGGTGGGGGAAACGCATGGTGGGGGGGAAGGTTATCCCCAACTGGATTTATTTGCATTCCAGAAAAACAGCAAATGCCCGAGCTATTGCTCCTACCTGGGTCAGTGGGTGGGTCCCATAAGGATGTTCTCTAGGTGCAGTGGCTCTATCAACTCGTAAATGCGTTCCCCCCATTCCCACTAATGCACAAAATCCTCCTCAGGAGGGTCAGGGCTTCAGTCATCAAGATAGCACCACCGTGGCCCCATCAACACTGGTTTACCACTCTCCTGGACCTACTGGTGGAAGAACCACTGGTGCTTCCACTGGTACCAGATTTGATTACTCAGGACCTGGGGGAGGGGCGGCTATGTCAGTTGAACTTGTCATCTCTCCACCTCATGGCATGGTTAGAAGGCATAAATACCTCTGTTCAGAGGCAGTGAGGAGGGTCCTTTTGGAAAGCAGGAAGACCTCCACTAGAGCTGCAAAAGCGGTGAAGTGGAAGCATTTTTCCCTATGGACCACCCAGGCAGGCACGGATCCAATGCGGGGCCCCATCCCTCTCATTTTGGACTACCTTCTGCAGCTCAGATAGCATGGCCCCTCCATTTTGTCCCTGCAGAGCTATTGCAGTGTTCCCCTCCAGTGGAAGGAAGCAGGATGTTATTTGCAAATGCGATGGTTAAGCAATTCCTCAAGGTGGTGGACAGGCTGTACCTGTATGTTTGCCAGCCCTTACTCCACTAGGACCTTAACCTGCTTCTTACGGGACTTATGAGCGCACCTTTTGAACCTTTAGCTACTTGCTCATTGAAACACCTGTTGTGGAAAGTGGCCTTCTTATTGGCTATCACATCAGCCAGTAGGGTCTCAAAACTGAGGGCCCTCACATGGGAACCCCCATATACGGTCTTCCTAAATGACAGGGTTAAGCTTTGCTCCCAACCATACGTTTCTCCCTAAGGTGGTCTGCCAATTCCACATGTCCCAGGGTATCTACACCCCCAGTTTTCTTCCTGAAACCTCATTCAATGCCTGAAGAGTGGTCTCTACACTCTTTGGACATTAGGAGGGCCTTAGCCTTCTACACAGATAGGACAAGAGAATTTCATAGGTCTCCACAACTCTTTTATTTCCGTAGCTGAAACAATGAAGGGCCTCCCAGTATCAGCACAGTGCTTGTCCTCCTGAATTACATCCTGCATTAGTGTGCTATGGCCATGCTAATAGACCAGCGCCCCCTCTTACGGCCCACTCTACAAGGGCACAGGCCTCATCGATGGCATTTGTTGCGCAGGTGCCTATTCTCAAGATCTGCAGAGCAGCCACATGGTCCTCTGTTCACAGCTCATGTATTGTGCAGCAGGACAGGGATGATGCGGCCTTTTGGTAGGGCTGTGTTGCAAACCACTGCAGATTAATCGCCGACTCCACGTACTGCTAGGGAGTCACCTAACTGGAATGGACATGAGCAAGCACTCAAAGAAGAAAAAATGGTTACTTATCTTGTAACTGTTGTTCTTCGAGATGTATTGCTCATATCCATTCCAAATCCCATCTGTCTCCCCTTTGTCAGACTCCGACAAGAAAGAACTGAGGGGGTGGAGGGCCAGCAGGGGTATATATGCACTGATATAGCTGCGCCATTCCAAGGTGCTCTCTGACTAGCCCAACAGATACTGCTAAGGAAAAATAAGCTCCGGGATCCATGCACGCAGCGCGCGCACACCTATCTGTCATGGACATGAGCAACACATTTTGAAGAACAACAGATACAATGTAAGTAACTGTTTTATATCTACAGTAGTGAGCCCATTATTAAGCTTATTTCACTGCCAAAATTAAAATGCAAATATTTATAACAGACATGTTTTTTTAAAAAACTTATTTTAAAACCGTCTCATTTTTTGGTGAATGGTTTGCAGACAAGTTGCTATATATTTCTCTCAGTGCTTTGGCACTTAACTTTTTATACTTACATCTGAGTCAGACACTGGTGGAGAATCTTCCATATTTACATCTGGTATATTTTCCTGTTTTATGGCTGACTTCTTGCTTTCATGAGACTTACTTCTTGACTCTGGTATCTAAGAAAAGCATAAAATTATATTCTAACACCAAAACCCCACATATTCATGTCTATCGCCACTTTGTATTCTATTACCTATTCTTTCAGTAACCACTGATGGTTACTAAACATATTGGCCTGTCAAAATTCTCACCCTAAACAAATATTACCAAACTTTAGTGCAGCAACAATTTGTATGTGAATACATGCTAAATACAATTATATTACTTACTGATTTAATTGGTTTCTCTTTCCACACAGACAGCTCTTTCGAGAGAAGTTCTTCTGGCTTCATTCTCACTAGCTTTGACAAAGAAATTTCTTCACGAAGAACACGATGGAAAAGCCCCTGAAACAAAATCCTACTTTACTGCCATGTTGAATACTAATAGATAATAACTAGTAAAGAAGATTCTTGATGCAGAAGAATTAACTTTATTCCTTGATTTATGAATTCCCTATTAAAAGATACTAAGTGAAGCAAAACTGAAGGGGCTTAGTAAACACAGATACTAAGTGTTGAACAGACATATTGATTAGCCACTTCTGACTGCTAGAATTCTTCAGTACAAGGTAAACCATTTCCAAAGCGGCGTGAGAAAAGCTTGCATTACCATTACTCATGTTATGCCTGTTCTGTGAATAAACAGAACCTCAGCTTCCTCTGCTCGCAAGTCTACATTTTCACAGGCATTCAGTTGATGCTTTTAAAAATATATAAGCCTGTTAATCTCCTGTGAATTTGTGGATCCACTCTGGATGAGGTAATCCAATGCATGTCACACAATGCCAGAAAGGTAGAGAGCTGGAATTTCTTACCACCTTTGCCCAATATATCATTATAAGCAGTATCGTATTCTGAATCAAAGTAACCAAGCTTACTAGGAATTAATAAACTACACACCTAAGACTTTTTGGATAATGGTATGATAAAATTCCTTTTCTTTTTTTTTTTTGGTCAAAACACGAATGATTTTTTAATAACTACAGATAAATTCTACAGGCTCACAATTTAGAGCCAGTAGAGTTTTGAGGATGGAAATTAAAAAATGTTAGTATTAAAGAGGGTTCATATATTTTAGCATATACCCAACGTTTAAGAACACAAACCTGATTTTTTGGGTCCTTGAGATTGAACATGATACTGCGATATTTACTCTTATATCGGTTGTCTGTAACTTGAAATAAGTTAAACATTTCCTTTTCAATATTCAGTGCTATCTTTCCCACTTCACTCTCTGTCATGATCAGATCGTCACTATCATTGACTCTGTACAAAATAAATAAATAAAATAAATAAATAAATGTCCTTGAAATACAGTGTTGATATTAAATAATTTTTGCAATCTTGTGTGTAAAATCTAAAAAGAAAATTTATGAATTCAATGAGGCTACTCACATGTGTGAAGTTAATCACACATTTAAATGTTTGCAGATGCAGAGTGTAAGAGGCAAAATTCCACATACAAGTATTTTTGTTTTCACTTTTGAAGGAGATTATAAGAAGTTAGGTCTGCATAGTCTGCACTATACAGCTTTTAGCAACAAGGCTGAGTCAACACAACCCTGTCGCTAAAAGTCAGTGCATGTAAATGCTTTTTGTCAGCACTTCTGCTGACAAACTACTTCTATCCCAATGAGCGACCTTTGCTATTGGCAGGAACAGCATTCATAATTGCATTTGCCATGGCAAAATGTGTCATGGGGAGGGAGGGGGAGGATGAAAGGTGGTTTAAGCACCCATGAATGACAAGTTTGGTCTATCAATTACAAGTTTCTTTATTTTCCCTATCACTAAGGAGCAATAGTTAAGATGACATTGTACTTGTTTGCATACTGAGCTCTGATTTTTTTAAATTTTAAAACTAATTAGCAATAGTTTAAAATCATATGATGCTTTAGTGTTTGACTATAACTGATTTTTATTTATTGAGATTACTATTGCATCATAAGAGAAGGTGGGTTTTTTTTTACCTGCCCTTTAAGAACATTAAGCATTCAATTATTTTTCTGTGCATTTGTAATTTTTACTTCTGAGTATGAGATATTACCAAACTTTCTTTACTTCACTGTTAAAGCTCATATCAGCTATTTCACTTGAAGCATGAAGTCACTGCCTCATTAACACCGTTGAAGAGCAGTGCAGTCTAAACATGTATTTCAAAAGTTTGTTAATGCCTTTACAACATAATGTGTTGAATTCCCACCTTTTCCATAAAATTTCTTTGAGGGATCGACGTATATTTTGTCGAATTTGAGAGTTGGGTTGTGATTGTGGATTAGCTGCTCCTTTTATTTGTGTGATTGCAGATGTAGTTGAAACAGAAGTAGATGATGTTGCAGTTTTTCTTAGTCCTCCAGCTAAATTGGAAGATACAGGTGATTTTCTGGAAACTGATGGTGAACCATGGGAAAGAGGTGACTGTTTTGAAGAAGGAACATTGCCAGATGAAAGCCAAGATTTCTTAGGAATCACACCTTTGAAGCCTGCAGCAGAATATTTAGTTGGATGTTTAGTTAGTGAAGTACTAGTAAATGATGGGGACTTCTTTGGACCAACAGTTTTGGACATGGAAGACATCTGTTTCTCAACTGTAGAAGCTGAAACAACCCCTTTTTTTGATGCTGTAACAGGTTCTACTGGTTTATCCTCACTCTTCTTCTCTTCCTTCTGGGCTGTTAAAAACAAACAGAAAAACATTAACAATATGGCTATAAATAATGGCTATGTGCAGTAATACCTAACTATAACAAAGATGTTTTACAAGTATTTTAAAAATTGTATTACACTTTTAATTGTATTATCATTTTTGACATTCATTTAGATGGCCAGCATCCCCCCTACTAATGAAAACCAGTTATTTAGTCAGAAAGAACAATCTAGGAAACAATGCTTCCAGTCTAATTTTCAAACAGGAATCAACATCAACCTATTACAAGCTCACATTTTTTTAACTTTAACTATCTGTATTAAAATAAGAAAAAATATGCACAGGTATATCTTAGGTTGGTTCAGAATAAACTGAGTGTTTAAACTGGACAGAATATATTCCATACAAAGAGGAAGCTGAGTATGGAGATTGCGATTACTTCATTTCAGACAAAATCCTTTGAGAATCTTAAAGAAAAATTATGAGATCACAAAATATACAAAAAAAATGTAAGAAGTTATACCACCCTGAAAGAGTCCAGACATGGGTTTTATTATCAGGTATTAATAATTCAACTTTCATGACAATGAAAAATATCACCAATGTTTTTGGACATTTAATGTACCGCATATTACTATTTGAATTAAATAATCAACCTATAACAATTTATTTAAACTTATTCCAGTACATGTGGTTATTTAGATTTTGTAAATTTGAGAATAAATTCACAGTGGTGAATCATGTCCAAGGGTTTGACTGAATTTTACTAAACTAAATGAATTTTTTTTTTAAATATTTTTCCTTTACAAAAATATGATTTAAGGACTGAGTTGTGCACTATTTGCTGCAGTGAACTTTCATACTCTCTTACATTCTAATCACACCTGTAGAAAGCAAGTGAAATAATCTGACATCTCTAACAAGGTTAGTAAATTTGTATTTAACTTTCAGTTAGGCTCAAGATTTACAAAGGATGTACATTAACAACCATGTGTTATATTAACTGTGACAAATAAACACCTTCTGTTCATAAGGCATGAATTTGCAGCTTAGAAAATCAATTATTTTCTTCCATCCCAGCTGAAACACAAACATACTTTACAGAACACACATGTAACTTAAGTGGGATAGACACTCAGTTTGAATTTCAATTTGACATTAAGCTTTGAAGAACTATGTTGGCTGAAATTTTTCTGACATGATTCCAATATTTGAGTATACTTATTTACCTTATTAGAAAAACTGAGACATTTCTAATTGCCTGCTTCCCTCCTTCTGCCATTGAAAAGCTATAAAATATTAGGCAATTTGATCTCAGGAAAAGGAATTAAGATTATGCAAGTGAAAGCTCCAATTCTCATCTGTCCTACAACTCCACTTGGATATATAAGGAAGTAACACAGGTGTTTATGCTATAATTCCTGGGAGCTGCCAGGGAATGATTCAGCATAGCACGATGACTAAAATCAGCAAAAGCAGATAAGGACAGTTCCACACTGGGATATTACATACAGAAAAAAATAGTAGATAATTATAATTGCTACTGAGGATGTAAGAGATTTCTCCAGAACATATCTTGCAATGTTATTCTGTCACTTCCTTCTGAAAGAATGATGGAAAGACCAAGTTGTGGCTTTACACCTCCCTTCCAGACTAGAAGTATCTAGAACATTTAACACGGACCCTTCTGACAACGTTTTGAACAGACTTCTAAACATAAGATTTAATCAAAGAAGTCAAATTTACCGCAGAGGATTTGGTACACTTCATGGGCCTCGCTCCCATAGAATACCTTCAAGACAAGTTATTAGGAGACCCAATACATGTTTTGTTCTTTACCCTCCACACCCAATTAAGTAGAATCAGAAAGCAGTGGCAAAGTTCAGACTCTTAGAATAAAGGTTTTCATCTTTGGACTCTAAGATGGGTAACCTCCTGGGTAAGAGATAGTCTTTTGGACTTGACACAATGTTGAAAAAGTTCCATTACCTCTAGTGTTACAGACACAACTCCACATCTTCTTTAGATGATCTGTTATTATTAAACACTTTTATCAGAATTTAGGAAACTGAAGAAACAGATTACACTATACTGTAGTTGGAAGTAGCTATTGGTACAAGTGTAAGCATCTTGAAGATCCAGATACCAAGTTATACTTGTTCAGCCTAGAATTGCATTCCAAGTGACTTCATTACAAATCTTATGGAATAAAATGTAACCTATATACACTCCAAGATTAAACAATTTCCTTTTGACATCTTGAATGTGATAAGTGAAATGAATGACTGAATTTCTTCATGGAGTTGAAGTAATTTTTTGTTGTGAAAATGTCACTGCAACTATCACTTTCCCAATTTAGCGTGCATTGGAACAATATTAACTGAAGTGAGGATGTATATGAAATAATGATCATGCCTAATACTTGTATAGCCTGGGAGGTGAACGGCCAAACAATGTAAGTGTGATGAGCCTTCACTGAAATGTAATAAGCTTGCTCATAACTCAGGAGTCTTAGAAACAGGAGCAGCAAATATATCTAAGAGCATGTATTGATGTGGCTGCAGAAACACACATTTCCAACACTTCTTCCTTGGCTTATTGTAGTTGACTCATTCTGACTATGTACCTTTTCTTATTTTTTTCACGAAAAGGGTCTAAAAGCATGTTTCTATGGCTCAGAGCACATCTGGGATTTAAAAAACAAACTGGGTGAAACATTGAGTCCTCAGTGCCAAGACTTTTGGAGAATCTGAGCAATGTGCTGTCATTCATGTGTTAACAGTGAATGGCTCGACACTTTGTGACTGGTATATAAGAGGTAAAAATAAAATAAAAGGCTATTCTGGAGAGGTATTTGTTTGTATTTAAGTGTTGTACAGAACATTTAAAAAGCGGAAGAAGTTACATTTACCAACAGGACTCTCTTGTATGCAATTATAAATGGTTCATATTTAGCAACTGTATGCTGATCTCCCAAAGTTGCAGTGATCTGTGACAGGATTTTCAGAATACATATGAAATTCAGTTGTGTGTGTCAGCCCAAAAGCATTTTACTCAATATTAAATTATGGAAGATTTTATATACTTCTCTATCTCAAATACAGCTTTTGATCCTTTTGTGGCTTAATACATACAAGTTACCTCATGAATATAAAATATACACAAAGACTTTTGTTACCATCATCCTCCTAACCCACTTCACTACCATTTGCTTATGTTTAACTTAGATTATAAAATTCTTTGGGCAGGAACAAAGAATGTGACTAAACAGTGTGATATGCAAATGAGCCAGTTTTTAAATATGGATGCTTGTGGTTCAAAGGATTCATTTTATAGAAATGCCCTAGATATGCAAGGTAAAAGTGCAAGTAATTATAACTACAAGCAGGGGGGGAGCTAAGGCGAAAATTTGGAGGAAAGCAGCATCATTCTGTAGTGTAACTAGACTTATCTTCCCCCTTTAAAATGTTTATTTTAACTTGCACAGTTGCTCCCATGTCATTTAATAAATGAATGAACTAAAATCTGACTATCAGAAAAATGGGAAGTTTACAGGAAATTTCATAAATATTATCAATAATATATTACATTTAAAGAAAAAATGACCTCTAACTGCACAGATATGAAATCCTACAAGTTTCAGCCCAAGTAGAGATTGAGAAATAACTGCAACAACTAGCTCAAAATGGTGAGAAATCTAGTTGTAAAAGAAAGCAATTAAAATAACTAAATTCCATTCTGCATCAATCCCAGCATTTTGGCATTTCTGAAAGCTTAAGAGGTGTTAACATTTTTGTCTTCTATTTACAAAGGCAGATATGGTAGCTATTTTTCTAGATTTTGCCTTTTGTGGCTCACCAAATTTTTAAAAATGTTTCTGGCGAGGGAGATAGTGCCTCACTAGAAATGTGATGTCCACAGAAAGGAGAGAACACAAACGTTTTTAGGTATTAACAGTGTTTCTGAGTAGTAGTGCTTGACAAATGAAATGAGAGGTGATAAAACTTAATGTGCATCATAAGGGGGTTCATACATTCTATTTTGGTCCAGATATGTAGTGGTAGTAGTCCACTAATTCCTTTGAAAAAATATCTGATCAGACTCAAAACTGAATAAAATCTTTTTATAGTCAAACTCCACAAACAAATAGATAACTTAAATCACCCCTTATTAATCTTCATGTTGACTAGAATTTTCAGGGGGATCTGAAAGCAGTATGTGATATTGTTTATATATACTGCAAGTATCTTGCAACAACAGCTATTAAACACACACTTTCCCATAAAATATTGTCAACCTATATATCAAACTCAGGGTTAATAAATAGTAAATGCTTCTTAAGTTTCGTGGAAGAATTTTTAAATGAAATGTTAATTGCTTTTTTCAAAATAAAAATGTCAAAACCCTAACTTCTGGAAGATTAGGAGTGTTTTCCCATTTCCACTATGAAAACTTTAGAAGGCTGCTATAAAGAATTATGACTTTGACAGAAGAATCATGATCTGGTGCAAAACTGCAATAATTTTGTATTTCTTTCCTTTAAAAGAGACAGCTGCTTTGTTTGGGAAGAATGTAGTATCTGATAACAGTAAAGGATTTTTTTTCCCTCCATTGCTAAAGGAACTTAACTGTTGAATGGTAGTCAAATGCAAGCTTAAGTTATCTGAACGTCTGTATAAAGGTACACAGCAATAAATAGGACAATTCATTCAATAGTATCTTACTGCAAAACAAGCCAAACTGAGTTAAGGAGTCAGATTTAAGTTATATTAAGTGATCAAGTTAGTGGTGTTTAAGTATGTCGTCAAATTTCTTTAGAAATATATACTTCACACAAAAGTTAAAAATTATCTGAACAGCATTCAGTATGGCTAAATACATATATATTTATACACACCTTCTCTCTCTCTCTCATTTGAGTTGTATTGTAGTTGACTTTCTCCATTAATGTGGAAGGGCTAATGAAGGTACCTCTCTCTCTCTCTACCCCTCTATTATAAACAGGAAGGTAGTGCTGATGAATAT